GTGAAAGGATTTTCAGAAACATCATCTACCACGTTGCTGGAAATAGTTCATAATATGTTACTATTTTCTTGGCATCTTAAAATTTCCTCACTTAAAGGGTAATGTTTACAATGAAAATAATACCTAAGAACATATTGTAGATATAAAAAGCAACTGTGTCTCTGGAGAATTGCTCTCAAGTTAGAGGGCAAATGCCAGGACAGGGCAAAGAGAATTGGATCTTGGACCAGCAGTGAAATGTAAGGTACTTGAGAAAATAGCTATCAGGGGCAGTGATGGAGAAGATGAAGGGAGCTCAGGACCATAAAATTGGGAAGGAAGGTGCTCTAGCAGAGAAAGGGCCATTCTTGTGAGGAGGAATGGAAGCTGAAGAAAGGAAAAATAGTGTTAGGGGTAAAGGCAGATTCCAGCCAAGACAGGCAAAGAGATTCTGGGATCTCAGGATGTTGGAATGTAAGGAGGAAGAATGGATGGGCCTACGGGTAAGGGAGTAGTTAGTGATCATAAAGAGCATCCTGTTATCGCAGTGCCCATGCCAGGACAGTGTGTAGGCTGCCAGCCTGCCCTCAGAGGCTGCTGTCCACTCAGATGCCAGTTCTTAGTCCAGTCAGCTATGGCCAAGGCCACAGGGTACCACTACATGAAGCTGAATAGGAGCAAATGCCTGTGACCCTTTTTATTCAAATGGGAGCAGTGTGACTGGGAGGCATGTCCAATACAGGTTGCTGACAAGCAAAAAACAAAACAAAACAAAATAAATCTTTAAGATAAGGCCTTTACATCCTACAATTGATAGAAAATAATTTCGACACCCTAGAAGAATTATCACTACACCACAAGTAATTAAAATTTCATGGACAGTATGGTACTGGGGCTATAATAATAATGCTAATAGTTACTATTTATTTTATAATTGAATATATTTTACAAATATGATTTTCAATTCAAGTAGGAGTTTCTCTTTATTATACAGGTGAGATAGCTGAGATTTTACAAACATCTGGAGCCACAAATAGCACATGATGATGCTGTCACTTAAATCTAGGTCTCTCTTTGCTTAAAGCTCATAGGTTTTTTGTTGTTATTTTTGTTTTTGACTCTGCAAACCTGCCTATTTTTTAAAACTAGTAATATAGTTAAAGAACAAAATAGAAAAGGTAATTTTGACATTGGAAATAGTTTAAATGTTAAAATCTGTGAATCCCAGTTTCCCAAGGAATTTTAAGTTAATCTTCCCCCATCTGAAACTTAGTTGTGTGCCCCAGGGAAGTACAGAAAGGAAACAGTAGGCATAGTTTCCCTGTGTTGCCCATCAGCCAAATTGATAAGAAATAAATAAGACAAACTACAGGCTCCAGAGAGAATTTGTGAAATAGTCCCTCTGGCGTTCAGGTGGAATCATGTCTTTCTCTGTGAAGTCTGACTGATTTGGCATCATCTGTGAGCATAAAACTCTTGCCTTCCTGACTGAACATACTCTGAGATCATTTTTCAGATTTTCAAATATCTCTCTTATTATGTGTAGAGTAATTATTTTTTGGTTTATATTTTATAATTCCATGTTATATTTTCTTGTTTACATTTTCAAATTATACTTCCTACAAAATTTGGCACATTGCTGGAAATACAGCTAGTGCTCAATAAGCATTATAATGTAAGTACTGATTATAATGATTAAATTAATTAGTTTTATATCAAACAAAATTTACTTTTGCAACTAATTATACTTATACCATTAACTTGAAGCACTTCAATTCTATCAATTTTCAATTCAGTCTAACAAATGAAAGAATATGGGTTATGTGCCCGGCTGTCCTTTTTCCAAGGAGTAAGGCCCTGTACTTCCTCTCTGATGCTTGGTCAACCACCGTGGAAAGAAGAATAAATTCAAACACTAATACTGAGTCCTGTACCTCTCTGAGGTATTCCTGTGGGAAATAGTACCTATTTCTTTGAAGCCCTAACACAACAATGAGTAGTGCAGAGAAATTGATGAATGTAAATTAGTTTTTCTACCCAGTTGTTTATCATATGTTCAAGAAAGTACCCAAGAAAACCTCTCCCTCAAAATTCCTGACTAGTGTGAGAGATCACCCAGCCTTCATTGGAACCAAAGCCGAGCCAAGTCTAGGCTGCCCAGAGCCATTCAGCAGATGTGTCCAGTGTGGTGCAGTAGTAAAAACCGCAGCAACTGATACTCAGTCCTAGGTGGGACCTAACGGTGTGGAGAAAAACTTGGAAAGGGAGACTCGAAGCTGATGGGAGTGGCAGGTCAAAATAGATCTATAAATTTATGACGGGAGTAGGCACATATAAAGAGGTGTTATATTACAACTGAAAATGATAGTGAGGAAGTGACAGTATACAGACTCAAGAATTCTCTGAAGAGGTATGATCAAAGTGCCTTAGGAAAGAACATTCTTATGGGCAAAGTTCTCCATATTATTTGGTTACTTCTTGAATTCTGCATCTTCTTCTTGGCATTCTTTAGAGGGGTATGTAGTTGACTGACATTCTGGTAGTTGGCACTAAGCCAGCAGGTCGTTATCTCCCGAGGGGTCCCAGACTGCGAGAGGGCACAGGCCGGGCTGGGGGTCCCCCCGCCCCCCGAGTGCACAAATTTTTGTGCACCGGGCCTCTAGTCTATATATATAAAAGCCTAAGTGATTGTTCCACCAGTAGCTATGACATGCACTGACCACCAGGGGGCAGGCACTCAACCAGTGGTTCTCAACCTTCCTAATGCCGAGACCCTTTAATACAGTTCCTCATGTTGTGGTGACCCCCAACCATAAAATTATTTTCATTGCTACTTCATAACTGTAATTTTGCTACTGTTATGAATCATAATGTAAACATCTGATATGCTATATGTGTTTTCTGATGGTCGCGACCCACAGGTTGAGAACCACTGCTCAACACACAAGCGTGGAAACATGGAACAGACTGATGAATCTCAGAGGGAAAGGGGCTAGGGGGATGGAGGGAAGAGATTTACCAAAGATCTTATATGCAGTCGGGTCCCTTGGCCTGTCCTGTGGGGTTTGGGCCGAAACCGGCAGTCCAACATCCCTTGAGGGGTCCCAGATTGTGAGAGGGCGCAGGCCAGGCCAAGAGTCACCACCGGTGCACGAATCCGTGCACCGGGCCTCTAGTGTAATTATATGAAACTATAATAATTGATCAAATCACTGAGAAGAGGTTCACCCTCATTTTTCAAACACTGTCAAGCATTATTTCTTTCTAAAATTTTTAACTAAATATTTTATTTAAAATGTTTTTATGTTTTATTTTTATGCCCAAAATACTTTTATGTTTCTGTGTACAAATTATTTATTTGATTGCATCTGTACTGGCCTTGGATCATATAAGAATTCTTTTAAACAAAGTTTTTTTTATTTTTTGAGGAAAAAAAATGTATCTTGTTTATTCACAAAATCATTTTAATATAACTTCTTAATTCAACTCCCTCTCCCCTCCCCCTAAGAATGGTAATCTCTTACTATACAGAGATTTCCCTTTTTTGTTGTTCAGGATGTTTACTTGTCAACATTGCAGAACATTTCACTGCTATGGTTAAATATCCATATAAAATTTTTTTAATCTTCCTACCTCGTTTTGAATAAATGTTCATGATATAAATATTATAGGAGACATTTTTCTCTACTTTTAAGCTTCTCTATAACCTAAAGAACATTGTACAACATTTCACAGTAGTATTGCTACTCCCACCTTTCTGAACTCAGCCCACACCAATTTCTCTTTCTACTTAAACACTCATTATATATGTGACCACAAATATGTTACATGATCCCAAGATAAAACTTTGTTTTATCATTTCTAATCATATTAGTATTTATTTCAACCTATTAAATGGTATCGCTGTGAAAATGTTACATTACATTATGATGTGTTTTGTAGATCAAGTCAGGAAATAAAAAATTGATATGGTGGGCAAGGGTTGTGTAAACCAATGTTTGAAAATATTTTGAGATAGCATAAAATTAAGAGGGTCCTTTCAAATATATCAAGTCAGGTCTTTATTGAACCAAAAAGGCCAGGCTAGATGAATAAGCGCTGCAGATGCAACATTAATCTGTAAGGTTCGAAGTATCCTAACATCCTTGGCTCCCCACTTCGCTGCCCTACCTCTCTCCAACTCAGAAGCATACATTAACTTTGGCAGGAAGAGAGGATTTTTTGTTTATTTTTCCCACTGACCTTCCATGGTTCCTGAAATTCTCAACCATAATTTATTCATCTGAGAGAAAAGTACAGTAATATAATTCAAATAAACTAGTACAGACTGGGGACATAGACAATTAAAGTTTAATAGAAAAGAGCAACAAAAAGGAAAGTCTCAGCCTAGAACATGTGGATTTGAGGGGCGAAAATCGAAAAATGAGATGAAGTTTGTGTGGAGGAGATGGAGCATTGGGGGACAAGGAAGGAAGAGGGAAATGCAATCTTTTGCCTCGTTTGCAGTCTTTCCTGGACTCATTAAGCCTCAACTAGCAAAGAGATTCTGCTCGTTGGAATCCCAAAGAAAAACTAGAACAGATACTATTTTCCTTTTTTAAACCTTGTCATGTGGCAAATGCAGTGTCCATTTTTAACAAAATTTTTCCTCAGCAATGTATAAAAATGTGCTGGGTTGATTTAAATAGTTAATAGTAAATAGTATTAACTGAAAATAAATAGCAACTATTTACAAAATTGGTCAGTAGCATTTGCCTAACGTAGATACTATGGTTGCATTTCTTTTTACTCTCTTTTGAAAAGTTTATAGCTTCTTCTGTTATACTGTTTTAAGCTACATTTAGTAAATATTTGGGGGTAGTGATGTGATCTTAAAGGATGCCTAGCTGTAGGACTACTGCTCAACTGGCTTGGCCCCTAAAAATGTGCCTGGGTTATTTCAAAATAAATTGGATTTAGAGTTTCGATAATGCTGACCTGTAATTTATGGATGCATATATGTTTTTACTTTGTAAATATAGTTCATTTACCCCTAAAATGCAAGGCAGACGGATGGGGACTTCAGGAAGAGCCATCACGAAGAGCACCAGTGTGAGTGGAGAGATGTACACACTGGAGCATAATGATGGCAGCCAGTCGGACACAGCCGTGGGGACAGTAGGAGCAGGTGGGAAGAAACGGAGGTCCAGCCTGAGCGCCAAGGTGGTCGCCATAGTGTCTCGACGGAGTAGAAGCACATCCCAACTAAGCCAAACAGGTGAGTGAAGCGAATGCAGCTTAAGCATCTCAAGGTCTTGCTGGAGAGACCAGAATGGATCTTCGTGCTGTGGATTGTGATGGGTTTGTAGAGTGTAGTGATTCTTTGCAAAGGAAGTTTCTTTTTCTGTCTCTGGAAATCTGTTACATGTATGTGTTTTGTTTGTTTTTTTCTATAGAGTTGTCTAAGCAAGTATAATTGTCAACCTGTCATGTGGTCAGATATGTTTCTTTAAATTAAAGGAAAGTTAAGGTCATGTTTATAAATATGCAAGGAAATGCAAAGAAGTGTTTAAGATCCAAATTGATTTATATGCAAGAAAAGCAACAGGATTTTCCTTTTCAAAATGTTCCGCAATACAATTACTTATAATTTAGGCCCTATCTATATTTTTATAGAAAAGAAGGTCAGTTGTGCAACTTGAAATACAGTTTTTATGGCACTGTATGAACATAAAAATTGAACTGTAATTGTTAAATTTTCAATGCAAGTGAACCCTGCAGTTATCTTTACTTTAGAAAAATGGGTCAGCGGATTTGTGCAAAGAATAATGTTTTAATACAAATTGAGTTTCAAATGTTTTTCTACTGCTTATAAATCTTAAAAGCTTTCTGTCCTCAAGGTATTTAGGAAAAAAGTAAACAGGAAGATGGTTATTTCTGTATTATAAAATAGAAAAAACTGCCTAAGATTATATAACATTTGGTTAGACATACTAACAATTCATTGCGATGCTCAGTCAGTACTATGGAAAACAAAAGGTAAGATAAATATTGAACTGATTTCAGTTGTCAGCACCTGTCTCTCCTGTTATAAACATCGGTACCAATTTTTGTTCCTTAACAGCAAAAGTGTTGTCCACAAAGTTTACTTATATGAAAAAAACTTTCATGAAATCCTTTTTATGGTTGACTTAGCATCCTGGAAAGTACTTGTTTAAAATTATGCATGGTACTGGACAGATTCACACATAAATTAGAGATAGGAAAGTTTGAGCCATTCAAAAATTGAACTAATAATACACCTACTTGACTAGACAGAGGTTTTGTCTTTCTGAAAACCACAGTTTCAGACAAAGCTAAATTAGCTAGCATCTCTGTGATAGACCTGCCTCTGTGTCAGCCCACTAAGATGAGCTAACTGTTTATTATGAAGGGGAATCATTGATCTTCTTTAGGGTCAGGATTCTTCCTTAGGAGTAGGAGGCATTCTTCCTTGTTTTGCTTTCTTTTTTATGGTGGTGCTTCTTGGTTGATGGTTTGATGTAATGATGCTTTACAGTGTGGACTATGGATGAGCCTTTTACCACCAAATTTCCAAATCCTCCATCACGTATATGAAATGGAAATGGTCTGTGGTCATTTTAGGAAACCATGTTTCCTGTGTGAGAAGCTGCAGGTTTAGGAGATGGCTTATCTTCTCCCTCCAACTTTCCACAGTCTTTCTCTTTTTATTCTTCTTCTGTAGTTAGTTCCCCCTCTATCAGTTACTAATTGAGTACCATTATATTTTCTTAGAATAAAACACAGCAATATGTTTAGATAGGAACCATACCGGTGGCACAGCTTTTAAGTAACAAATTCAAAGGATCGCCATGGAAACACTCAGTCCTTTTGCTTTATGAATTTAATCTTATTCCAGCTACATTCATTGTTGAATTGCAAATACCTACCTTCCCAAAAGTTTTATTGCCAGTAATTTACCTGGAATACTTTGCCTGCCGTAGGAGACTGGGTTGCAATATACAGGAGCACAAAGGACATTAGATTACAAAGCCAAGATAACAAAACAGTTCTGTTCCAAAGTAACTCAGTGAGTGAACTTTGACTTTATCTTTCTAGGACTCTTTTCCTTTATATTATTATACTAGAGGCCTGAGGCACAAAATTGTGCACTTGGGAGGGGGGTTCCCCAGGCTGGCCTGTGCCCTCTCACAGTGCGGGAACTCTGCAATCTATCTCCCCAAAGAGGTAGGCCCCGCACACCCATCCAGGGCTCCTCGATGGATTGCCCCAAAGAGGTAGGCCGGAGCCAGAGGACCCCACGCCAGGGGACCCTCGGCCTTGCTGCGCAGAGCTGGAGCCGCCGGGACCCACCGGGACCCGCCTTCACGGCTCCGCTTGCACGCAACCCCACTCGTGTACAAACGCCCGCTGCACATGCAGCCTCCTGGTGATGGATTGTTATGGCGTGAGGGCATCACGACGCGAGGGCATGATGGCCACATAGGCTTTTATTAGTATAGATGAGTTTGCTAATATAATGGGTGGGTTGGATTCATGTCCTCCTGTGAACTCTTCACATAATAAAATTTTATGTTTCTTTTCCTACATCGTAATGTTCCCTTTTATTTGATAACCTGTTCTGATGCTTCTAAAGTAAATTACAAGTGGTGGCAAAACTCTATTATCGTTGTTCTTTGTTTCAGTGAATGGCCTGGTTTTTCCCTTCTTCTATCTTCTACAGGTGATTTTTTTCCTCTGCCAATGATTCTATTTCCTCTGTCCACTGAAGATTCAGTGACATTCAGAATTTCTCATTCTAAGAAATCTTATTTTCTATTGCTTCAGCTTCTACAAATGACCATCAGATCTGTACTTTTAGATTCCTCCTCACCCAAGAAATATTCCCTCATCGAAATGCCCATAGAAAGCTCCTCTTGGATGCCCCACTGTAAACATGCCAGCATTCCCACACATCTGAATGCTCAGCTCTTCCGTTCAACAACACCACTGTTTTAATGGCTACAAATCCTTAGAATCTTTTTTTTTAATTTTTTTCCTAAACTCTGTCTTCCCCAGGCCCATCATCCCAGAAAAACAATCTATCTATTTTTTATTCAATTCTAAGAAACATTAGACAAGCTGACTTAAATGCCCTTGTTGTAAAATAAAACTATTAATTCCAAACTGGTGAGGCTTTTCAGGAGGCCCTCCAAAAGCACAGATGAGACATGTTTTCTAATAGTGTCAACTGAGCAAAGATTCAGAGGAGGAAAACAGCATTACACATACAGGGTGGGGCAAAAGTAGGTTTATAGTTGTTCTTATGGAAAATAATACAATAAATAATAAATAATAATAATACAAGTATAAACTGCATTTCATGTACTCACAACTATAAGCCTACTTTTGCCACATCCTCTATATTAATACAAGGTATGTATTCTATGGAATAGAATGTACATATCATGTTTAATTTAAATGTTTAATTATCCTATACAATAAAGAGGTGATATGCAAATTGACCCTCACACTCTCACAAGATGGCTACCTACGACCAGGCCGGCAGGGGGGTTAGTGAGGGACGACCAAACAACTGAACAGCAGGCTGTGTGGGGTGACCAGGCTGGCAGGGGGGCTGTTGGGGGCAACCAGGCTGGTGGGGGGGGGGCAGTTAGGAGCAACCAGGCCATCAGCGAGGGGGCAGTTGGGGGTGACCTGGTCGACAGCGGGGGGAAGTTAAGAGCAACCAGGCCGGCAGGAGGGGCAGCTAGGGGCAATCAGGCTGGCACGCAGAGGCAGTGAGAGGTGATCAGGCCAGCAGGGGGGGGGGCAGTTAGGGGTGACAGGCAGGCAGGCAGGTGAGCAATTAGGAGCCAGCAGTCCAGGATTGTGAGACGGATGTCTGACTGCTGGTTTAGGCCCGATCCCGGCCTAAACCAGCAGTCTGACATCCTCCCAAGGGGTCCCAGATTGGAGAGAGTGCAGGTTGGGCTGAGGGAACCCCCACCCCCATGCACAAATTTCGTGCACCGGGCCTCTAGTGTTTAATATAAAAGAAAAACTTCACTTAAGGGCTTCTGGTATAGTGAGCCTCTTTGGGATCCACCTTGTCACCCTTGGTTACAGATTCTCTCTCCTCTTTTTAGAATAAGAGATTAAAAAAAAGAAGACATAGTTGTTCTGCTTTTGTTTTATAGCCACAGGATTGCTTGAAGGAGTATATTTGAGACTTTGTTCAAAATCAACTAAAGTATAATTAACAAATTGAAGAGCATAGTACACACACAAACATACACACACACACAATTTACTGGGCTCTTTAATTTTATGTATATTCTTATAGAATATTTCAATTATAAATAATATGAATATTTTAAAATCACCTTTACCACACTTTTTATTCATAATGAAAGTAGGAACACTTTTTCAAAAAAAAATTTTAACTAAGAGAATGACATAAACAGACAAGTTTCCAAACAGTGACTCTCCTGCTACTCTGGTAAATGCCTTCAAGCAATAAGCACATGGCTAAACACCTGTTCAGTAAACAGTAGCTGAATTAGATTGAAAAGTGCAGTAGTTAAGGAAAGGGGAAATGAAGAAAGAGCTCCTGATCCAGGAATATATTGTAATTGATGAAGTTCTGGGTAAACTTAGGGCTATGCTTTAGAATGTGAAGGAGATTGTACCTTAAGTAGGTTTAAAGGCCACCCTGATGTACTGTGAGGATTTGGTCCCTCACTCACAGGCTGACTATATGATATTCCTGCGGTGGTAATCTCCTTCTCACTTGTAAATGAGGGCATTATTGAGAAGGGTATACAAATCTGTGATGAGTCATCCCTAAATACACCCTTGTAATTACCTACAAGTGTAAGGCAATTATGATAAGTATCATAGAATGGTAAATATACATGAATAAATTGAATCTAACTGAATAAAACTAATAATAGGTTTACATTTCAAGAGCTTTCTCCATGCACTCTTAAGTTATATACATGCATGTGTGTGTACTTAACAATTTCACTTTGTTATTAGTCACAACAAATGTATGAAGTACCATTATTATTATTCCTATTTTGAAGTTGAAGAAACTGAGGCATAGAGGGATTAGGTAACTTGCCCAAGGTCCCATTGCAAGTGATTGGGCCAGAATTTAAACCCAGGATTCCTGATGCCAGAGCCCATGCTCTTAACCACTGGGCTAAAAGGGGGAGTTTAAAATAAGCTTCAAAAAAACATTACTGCACAACTATGTTGTTAGTACACCATAGG